GCTATGTGGTTCAGCTTTGCCTTGTGTGTACTGTAGGATACTTATTGAGCTCTATAATGGTAATAATCCTTTCAGACAAAAATAAACAATTGTTATACAAGTATATAATTCCATCAGGGGATTTAGTGACAAACTGGAATTTCCACATCATACATACTGTGTGTGCAATCTATATATATAGTCACTATCATACATATACAAAATATTACACATATATAAATTTGCCTTAGAGATTATAAAGTGCACAGTCTGCATTTTATTTTTCTCATTTAGCAAATATGTAAGACAGCTATTTCCTTGACACAATATTATAATATTTTGCAGAGAGTGTCAACATACAGAATCTGTTTGGGCTACTTTGACCTTCAGTTGTCACAGCCATATGTGTTAAACATACCAAAGTGACTTTGCAACATTCTTTCGTGAAGTTCAGGAGAAATAAAGTTCATGTGATGTATATTATTTTTATATAAAGCACTTAAAGTATTAAAATAAATGAGCAAAGAACGAAATCTCCCCTTCTATGACCATACTTTTACAGTATATTACACATATAAATTCCTTTTTTTCAGGATGTTTTTAAAAATACGAATACTAAAGTGAAGTGGTAGGTTCAAGGACTGTAAAATTGTTACTGATGTTTTTCTCTTTAATTTCTTTATCTGATGCAGTTGACCCCTTGGCCTGAATCTCTTTTTGGACAAATTGGCTGCAGGGACTTCAGCCAAATTGAAGAGATTTCTGAACACAGTGGCTTAGCTTTTTGTACTGATTTGGCATATACTGACTACAGTACCTTCTGTGCATCACCCCGCTTCATCTGTGTCTTTGGTTCCATTTAAAGAACTGTATGAGTCAGATGTCTTCATGGTCCTACATGAGTGCTAATAGACAGCTGCCAAATTAGTCTCCAGAAAGGAAAACGTGTAAAGCTATTTGCTTTTATTATTGTTTTTGGAAAGCCGATAAATGTGCTGAGTCTGAGTGTGTGATTATAAGGACTTGTTTGAGGGTTGGAGCACAGAAATCTAACATTTGTTGCAAAAGAACCAAAACCAAACCCCAAACAAAAACCGAACGGAGAAAGTTAATTTGACAAGGTTTGCTGAGCTGATTGTTGCTCTCAATTCTCCAAAATGAACCATTATCCTCAATGGAGGTGGCACTTCTCAACCAGTCAACAATATGAGAGCATTTTACAGTCAGGGAGACCAGGGCAATCATCTATATACTTTTAGTTTTGATCCTGGATCATCCATATAACTAACACACACACACAAAAGGGAGGGGGGAGGGGGGAGGGGCACAAAGACAAACTATACACATAACAAAGTAAATGATTTTTAATAATCTCTTGAAATCACGATAGTTAGTAATTAGAGCAAGTGACTAGGGGACAGACCTGGGCTCTATTCCTGACTGGATTGTTGACTTACAGGTTAACTTAATCTATGTGCTTCATTTTCTCTGTAAATTATTGCCTTTGTAAAGTGTTTTGACATCATCAGATGAAAGGTGCTATAGGTGCAAAGGACTGTGTTATTTTCTCCACAGCCTATCCCAAGCATTAGCCTTATCACAGTACTTTAAAACAAACAGCAGTAACTTCACCAACATCAGGTTTCAGAGTAGCAGCCATGTTAGTCTGTATCCGCAAAAAGAACAGGAGTACTTGTGGCACCTTAGAGACTAACAAATTTATTTGAGCATAAGCTTTCGTGGGCTACAGCCCACTTCTTCGGATGCCCATGAAAGCTTATGCTCAAATAAATTTGTTAGTCTCTAAGCTTTCGTGGGCTAGAGCCCACTTCTTCGGATGCCCATGAAAGCTTATGCTCAAATAAATTTGTTAGTCTCTAAGGTGCCACAAGTACTCCTGTTCTTTTCACCATCATCAGTTGTCTCATTGAATATCAGATTACAGATTGCACAAACAAACCACCTGTATGACTGCAACTAATTTGACTGCTGTAATTCCAAACACTCCAATCTAAGGCCTGGTCTAGTCACATTTTTATATCAGTTTTATCTGATTAGAATATATAATTCAGTGAGCACAAATGTAGATAGTCTGTTTACAGAAATAAACTGTATCACGGTAAGCACCTTTATACTGTATAACTGCCTCCCCATGAGGGGTTGTGCTGATTTCTAAACAGATATTAAAATGGTACAAATGCTATGTGTAGACAAGCCTTAAGAACCAGGTCTTTCCCATATTCCTGTGAGAAAAGAAGACTTTGCAGCATGCCTGTAAAATTACTAAATCCAGGACTTAGTATAAGACAAGTGATTATTTAGTGGTAATTGGCTATCATGGGAAGATAACTGTCTTGCAAGTGAAAAACAAATACCCGTGAACTGTTCCTGAAGCATCCTGATACTTTAGTGGCTTTGTAAAGAAGTAGAAGACACATAAACAACATTATCTGTTTGATTCATTGATACAAACTGTAGACTGTTTTTGTCAGCTTTAGAGGAATGCACAATGCATTCAAAAAACCTGTGCATAAAGTAGAAGTTAGGTCCACATCAAGTTTAAAACTGATGGGGGGGTTCCATCTGAATTATTGTTGTTGGTTTTTTATATTTGTGAAGCCTAGTTTCACTTAAGTGGTGGTTAAATTATTTGTAGTTTATCAAGATGTTGTAAAATCAAATTATTTTTATTAAATAAATGACTGACAGATGGAGAAAATTTAAGTATTGGTTAGCATAATCCATTTACCTTTTAGGTATGTATTCCATAATCCTTTACCATGTCTGAAGAAATGGCTTAGATCAGCAGTCCAATCTCGTTCGATTTTGCAGCAAAGTCTTAATTCTGAACGCTGAGTTGGAATTGCTTCCATAACAGTGTATTGTGATGTGTCAGACTTCACTCAGGACCTGGGCTCTGAAGAGAAGTCTTCTTCAGTATCAAAATGCAAACTGAGAAACCCTGACCGGGCACATTTCTTCAACTATTTTCTTTGCTTCAGTGTAAAAGTTCAACTTTAAAGAATGGCAAGGAGGACTAGGCAAACTGATTTATGATTCCACTCTGCAAGTTGTTGATAACTTCCTGCAAGGTGCTATGTATGCTCAGCCATCTGTGAATTTATTGGGAATTGAGGGTGATCAGGACCTACTTCCACTGTCACCACCTTCACACTAGTCAATACTGGTAAAGATTAGAATTATCTAACTAGTAAACTCTTAATGAACCTAGATTCTGGGTACTTGTGATTCCCTGTCGCCACAGAATCTGAGCACCTCAGAATCATTAATGATTTGCTCCTCATACCATTCCTTCTGAGATAGGAAAGTATATTCTTACTTTTTTTAACAGGTGGGGAAAATAAGCCACAATGAAACTAAATGACTTCCCAAAGTATCACGTGAACTCTATGGCAGAGCTGAACACACATCTGAGTTTCAGTGCTAGTCCTTAACAACAGGATCCTTTCTTTCAGTAATTAGCATTTCCCTCCCCGTGAAGCTTCTGGTATTCATCTAGTCCTAGTTGTTCCCCTTAAACATACCTACTCTGTTTTTTCAGATACTACCCATCCCTTTCAAATGTTTCCCAGTTCCTCTGCAATCTATTTTTTAGAGCTTTTCAGTACAACATCATAGAGACACAGTACAAATTGTGTTGCATTTTGAAATTTCAGTGCTAGACTTGGAACATTGATGGTTTTGGGGACGTTCTTGTCTGCACGCTGTATGATGCCACTTTTGGCCCTCAGGAGACTTTATTGTTCCTATAAAGACCATCCTGGTCTTTTTTTCCCCAATTAAACTCTCTATGGGATGCTGCTTTTCTTCTTCCTTTTTTGTAGCAGGAGACACCATGTTTTGAACTGAAGTGAATTAAACTTAATAGTGAAAGAGTACTTGATGTAATAAAACCTTTTGTTTTTCGTTCTGTTTGATTTCCAGCCTTCAGGGTTTAAGCGTAAAGTACAATGCCTTTCTTTTAGTTTTATTTTAGATAAATAATTTACATTTTTTTAGAGAAGGTGTAAAAACACCAATACAAAAAGTAGGTTTTGGTGGTTTTAATCATTTATATGGATAAGGAGTTAATTCCTAACTTTTCTGCAGTATTTTATAATCTTTTTTGATACTTGTGCAGTATCTTTTAAGAAAACTGCTGAATCTTTCTAAAAGGTATTATCAAAAATATTTCTAAGTATAGGTTTGCTTTATGGTAGGGGAGGATAAAACATCAAAGTTAAAGATCTGACACTGCTAGATGTTGAAGTTCTCTGGCTGGAGGCCCAGGATAGCTCAAAAGTTTTGGTGCAAGCTTTCCCATACTGCCCCTCCAATAACCTTGGTCTTGATGTTATAGAAATTACAATTTAACATGAAGAACTGCAAGGCATGAATACCTCTGACTGTAATAGCTCAGCATTCTTTACCGTCTGTATTGTCTTGGTGCCTAGATAGGGAGGCAAAGATGCATGTGATAGGAAATGCCAGTTACTTCCATTATTAATTGGATTGACTCCATAATTAAATTACATACTTAAGCTTAAACTGGGGCCATCAATTTCTATTTTTATTTTGTGTAGGTGGCCTTTCAGATTGAAATTTCAATGTTTGTTTTTACTCCCTTTGAATCTTCTGTGTCGGGTTTGCTAGATTTTTGCATAATATCCTTTTAATAGGAAATGTTTCAAGTTGGGTTTTTGGCTGAAATTTATCATGGTTTTCATGTTATGTCATCATCGTATCTTTAAAACAAGAGTTTAAGTCTACACAAAATTAGTAGAGATTAATCTTGAGTAGGTCCAGTACTATAGGTAGTTGATTAAAAGAAGTATTTAGGGTTAAAGGAATTTTTTTTATTCACTTTTTCTTCATAACTGAAAGTTTATTTGTCAAGGGCTGGTGAGTAAAATCTCCTCCAGAGAAACTCATAAAGAAATTGCTTCAAAATGGCTGCCATGTCCCATTGTTGTTAACATAGGACCGAGGCCACAGGCTGGCTTCAGGCTAAAATGGCCTCTAATTCTTTACAGTTTGGGGAGGAGGAAGCTTTGCCTTCCCCTAGCAAAGATGGCCAATGCCTTCTGTTGATCCCAATGGCAATTAGCCAGGCTGCCTTTAGGGAAGGAGGAGACAGAGGGAGGTATTGTGAGGAACAGTTGATGTCGAGGAGGTAAAATCCAAGAGCAGGGAGGGAAATTGGAGGAGTGTTTGTGGCCAGGGGAATGTGGCGGGCAATGGGAAAGGTGGAATGTGTGGAGGAGAATCTGAGGGGCAGGAGACGGATGTGGGCACATGAGGAAGAATGAGGGATAGGAGATTAGGGGGAAGGGAGGACAAATATGGGAGAGGGGCACATGAATGGAACAGAAGACTGAGATGGTCACTGTTGTGATCGGGAAGGGAATGTGGAAGGCTATAATGGCAGCTTTACCACTTAGAAGAGGGTAAGTGGCTTTCTCCCTCCAAGCAAACATGAGGCAGTCTTAAATTTGCATTTAAGGTTGAATTTTGAATCTGAGATATTGTGCACAAATTGTGGATGAGGAAGCTCCCCGTTACATTTTCCTCTGCCTTCTGATGTTTGAACAACATAATTTTTCTCTTAATCGTGTGATTTTTAAGTCTCATGATGTTTAGGAATCTGATTCCAGATGTATGCATGGTTGCTTGTTAATACTGCATCTGTCACCCTCCTTCATTCCTCCCACTGCAATTTCTGATTCTCTCTTCACCCCCAATCTCTTCAGCCTCAGAATCGAGACCAGTAGCAAACTTCCCATGGAGTGTGATAAAATAGTTCCCCCTGGTGGCAAACTGGGGGAAGTTTGTCAGATCCAGGGGCTGTTCAGTAATGGAGCTCAGAATTATATGCTTCTCTGGGGAGCTTGCCTGCCTGTTTCCCTTTTTCTTTCATGTCCTAGGACCTGGAAAGCTACAGAGAGGAAGGCTTCTTTTTGGTGGACCATTGGAAGTTTATTGGCCTGAGAGAGCCATCTGTTATCATTCCAAGTTTGGGTGAGCCTGGAAATGAAGAAAGAAGTATGGGTTTGCATGTTGATGTTACATTCAATGCTTAACCATTTAAAAAGAAATTAAATAAAACACTTTTTGAAACTGTTAGAATTGCTAACACAACCATAAAAGCAAGGATGTGAAAATTTAGTTGCCCACCAGTGTATAACCTCTACCCCTCCACCCACAGGCATACACCTTTCCAGTACTGCTACTGTACACCACAGCTGTAACTGTTCACTCTAAGGATTCCAGCTTTCCAGCACCCACTTTACAATCCTGTTTCCTCCAAATACACCATACTACTACACCAAATACCCACAAGTAATACTGTTGAGAGTAGGGTAAGTGGTGAAGAGGATGTGGAGTAAGGAAAAATTGAAGGGCAAACTCATGTTTAAAAGGGGTATTTTTAAAAAATGGTGAACAAAACTAGAACGTTGGTACTACCCTGGTCTTACTGGAGGAGTTTCTTGTAAGTGTGTGCTTCCTGTTGCTGGAATGGAGTGTGAAACTTAACTTTAAGTTTGTGATATTCTGGGAAGTGCAGTTCAATAGCATTTTATTGCTGTTCTATATGTTTGTGATGTGGTAAATTAAAATATGCTGGTGGTTTACCTGGATAATTGCATCACATGTGAGTGAGTTGGGAGTTTAAATCTTTTGAGTGGGGGCTTGGGGCAACCTATGAAAAGGGCTAATCTAACCAGCCCGGAGGCCTCTCTGACTAGGGCCTAAAACACAACTGTTTCATTTCTTCAGATGTAGAGAGAGGAGACCATGACTTCACAGGTATATTCAGACTTGGCTAGTAGGTCTAGTCTTTGGGCAAGTAGCTATTGGGTAAATTTTTCAAGCATTTACTAGGATTACACGCCAGTATTTTCCTGTTGTGGTTGAACATATCTGGAAATTACCTTACATGCAATAATGGGTTGTTGTGAAGATGGCCTTAGAGGAAAGGGAGTGTAACACTTTTAGAACAAACAGATTAAAAGATTTCAGGTGTAGGAAGTGGAAAGAGTATTCATATTGTGCTTTGTCCAGTTAAAAATAGCACCATACGAAATGAACTGTCTGTACTTGATTAGATTGAATGCTGTGTTCACAGAAAAGCAACACAAGTTTTTGTATTGAAACTGAGCATTTTGTGGCATTCTTAGTTAAAACTGGCCAAGTAATTCTGAGAGACACAAATGAAGAGCAGTTGATTCCTTGTTGTAAGACACTTTGTAGAATGAGATATAAGGCTGGAGAGAGAGGTACTGCCTGCATTTTCTGACCCAAGTAAATTTAAGAGCATTACACTTTCTGAGATAATCCTGTTCATCTGAAGGCTTCATAAGTGTTTTTTGTATTTCTAATTCAGCTCTGTTTCTATTTTTAGGAGAGTAGAGTTGTATTTAAAATGGAAGTTGACATAAATGGAGAGACCAGAACTACCATAGCTACGCTTCCCTTACCTATTGCAGAGGTGAGTTCCACAGGCAAAGTGGAAGCAGAGAAACCTCGATGCTCCAGCACCCCATGCTCACCTATGCGACGGACTGTTTCAGGTTATCAGATCCTTCACATGGATTCTAACTACTTGGTTGGCTTCACAACTGGTGAGGAGCTCTTGAAATTAGCCCAGAAGTGTACAGGAAGTGAGGAAAATAAAGTGGAAGCTGTGCCCACCGTGCGCTCCAAACAACTTGATTCAGGACTTACACGTTCCTCACGGTTGTACAAAGCTAGAAGTAGATACTACCAGCCATATGAGATCCCAGCTGTAAATGGAAGGAGGAGAAGACGGATGCCCAGCTCAGGGGATAAATGCACTAAGGCTTTACCATATGAACCCTACAAGGCACTTCATGGTCCTCTGCCTCTTTGTCTCCTCAAAGGTAAGAGGGCTCACTCTAAATCCCTGGACTACCTCAATTTAGACAAAATGAACATCAAAGAACCTGCTGACACAGAAGTGCTTCAATACCAGCTCCAGCACCTTACCCTAAGAGGGGACCGTATGTTTGCTAGAAACAACACATGAACTACCATGTGGAAATAAAGCCAACTCCTGGTAATTTCTTCATTGCTGCAAATATCCACTGTTGGACTGTGTACATGACTGTCCACATTGTAGGTGGTTGTATCAGCTAAGTGTTATCAGAATGTTATTTATTAAATACAAGTTTGAACACTCAAAATGTCTCAAATATTTGGAGGGAAAAATCTTTTCAGAGAGATTAACTTCTGAAGAAAATCTGACTGCAATTGGTGGACATTTCTTTGGGACACTTTTTAACAAAGAAAAGGCTTTTGTACAGGTATCTAGTATTTACAGTGATTTGACACTCAGAAATTGGTGATGGTGTCTACTTTGTTGTTGCTAATTTGGCTTGCTATTGGAAGTTGCTGTTGAATAAGCATCAAGTTCTCCTTTTGTCATTTTCTGTAACATACATTTTATTGTAAAGATGGTAATGGTTTGTTGTATTACAGAAAAGAATGTGAACCTGGCTGAATTGGACCACTTGTTATTTAAAACAATCCAGTTTAAACATTTTGAAACTGGGTCTGCGCTAGAAAAAAGTTTCACTGATGCAAATGAACAAAGGTTTATTTTTACTTAAAATTATTGAACAGTTATTTTTTAGTTGTACATGGGAATAGTTGCTTTTCTTCTTTCTTTCTCTGTTTTAAAAACTTTGGTTAAATAAGTATTTGGAATATTTTTAAAAAAAAGAACCATTCTGGAAGTAAATATTTTCATTACATTTTAAGAGGATTTAATGTAATACATTTGGGGGGGTTTACATTGTCTTGACATATAAAAAAGGACCCACTTTAGATTCCAATATATAGATTAGAATGTCTACATCAGAAAGTAGTATTGAATGAAATTTTTGATTTGTAAATCATAATTTATATTACATATGTACTTATGGAAGGTGTTAAAACACAACTTTAGCACTGCATTGGAAATTCCAGTTATTTGCAGCACCGAACACTTTTAAAAATTAAAAATCCAGATGCCTGAATTAGTTTGAAGGCATAGAGTGCTTCTATAGCAGCCTTGAAGTGCTGAATCTGGATTTAACAATTTATATCTCATGCACTGGCTTAATTTGTTGCTTAAGAAATCATGTCCAACCATGATAGGAAATGCAATTTTAACTACTGCAAACCTAAATATATTTGGAAAATATATGTAGCTTGCCTTTGTAAAAGTACTATTTTTCATTCTTTGTCTTTTTTTAAAGGTGCAAGTTATTACTGACGCAGTGTGCAACCGTGCTTGTTTTTGCTCAGCAAGTTATTTAGAAGTTAAAGATTTAAATAAGCACCATGTCTATGAAGTAGAAATAATTTTTAATTGGTCAGTCATTCCTGGCACAATTCTGATTTTCTTCAGAAAGAATGGAAAGCAGTAGTGCAGAGTGTGTGTTGTGGAAAAACAAGAATTCTTTTAATTCTTTCACTTACTCCACAGTTGTATCTGACTACAGTAAAGAGCCTGTGGATAGTTTGCATTCTACTGGTTTGGTTGATTATTATTTATTTATTTATTTATTTTTTTAAAGGTATGTTAGGAATCTTTACAGCTGATGTATACTTTAAAGTAAACTGCACCTCTGTAAACTTATTGTATTGAAGAATGATCTCTAAACTATTCTTATATAGTCTCTAGTTTCACAAACAGAATACTGTCAGATGCCAAAGAGAGATGGGTTTTATGTTTAATGATTAACATAAACATGGGGGGGAGGGATAGCTCAGTGGTTTGAGCATTGGCCTGCTAAACCCAGGGTTGTGAGTTCAATCCTTGAGGGGGCCATTTGGGGATTTAGTTGGAGATTGATCCTGCTTTGAGCAGGGGGTTGGACTAGATGATCTCCTGAGGTCCCTTCCAACCCTAATAATCTATGATCTATGATCTATCTATGATCACTATTTATTGATTTTTACCCTATGAAACTGTATTTCTGGCTATGAAATAAAAGGGTGATGTAAATATATTGTTGTGTAGTGCTTTGATGTGCAGAAAATGGGAGGACACTGACGGATAAGTGTTTCAAAACCATAAGTCCTGTATTCGCTTGGGACTGCATGAAGCATTTAGACTCCTGAGGGCTGATTTTCAGAAAGTCAGATGTGCAATTGTAAGTACACTTTTGTCCATGTTGTTGCTGCAGTTGTATGCTACACATGCAGGCTGGCAGGGATGTGCGTGGCCAAATGCCAATGTGAAATATTAAGTCAGTGCATGCATCTAACTGTCCCTTTGCTCATGCAAACAACAGATGTATGTGCTCATTCATGGTAATGGTGTATGCCAATTAGGCATGCAATTGCACATGCCTTTGTACATACATAATTGAATGCCTGATGCTTTGAGAATCCTTTCAACTAATGAAACTCTCAGTCAAGGTTTCAGGGCATATAAAGTGGCTCTTACATTTACAAGAAAGCAAAATCTCAGCCCAGTGAAATCCATTGCTGTCTTCTTGCTTTCCTGGTGCAGTATCTGGCACTAAGGTCCTTAAACTCTAAAAATGCATTGAAATGGAATCTGAACAATTCTGAATCAACCTGTGAGGATCTCACTTTCGTATCTTGAATATAGAGCTTCAGTCTATAATAACCTATCATTACAAAAAGAATCTTTGAGTGGGCAAAGTCTCTTCTGTAGCAGTACAAACAAGAGCAGAGCCAAAAGGGTGGTAATATGAGACTTATTTCTGCATTGTGCAGGGCCAGCAAAACAAAAGTAACTTCATGATAAACTATGAATGCATGGCTAACTTACTCGTGTACTGAGACTAGCCTTAAATTCTTGGGAGTATTATAGGGCTTTGTGAAACCTAGAGAAACAATGGTTTCACTTAAAGCAGAGTTGACTTAGCATATTCAGGGAAGCAAATTGGTGTTTAAGTACATACATACAAATTCTGATACATAGTGTGCAGACTAATAGCTGCTATAGGAAATAATTAAAAACAGCTCAGAATTCAGCTTTTCCCTTCCTAAATTCCAATTTGATTCAAGATATCAACCAACCAGGCAAGAGATTCATACATATTTAAAAAATAGTTTACTCAAAAGCCTAATCAAACCAAAACACTTGCAGCACGCTATGAGTTTTGCCAAACTCTGGCTGTAGCAGATAGAGGTTGAGATCCTGGCCTCATTGAAATCAGTGGAGGTTTGTCAGTGACCTCGATGGATTCAGGAGTTCACCCCAATTTCTGAGGCTCAACTGAGAATCTCCTGCTACTGACCTCAGAAATCAGATTTCAAAAGCAGACCCACCTAAGCAGACCTCAAGTGTAGCAGCAGCACATAGGGTGACCAGATAGCAAGTGTGAAAAATCGGGACTGGTGTGGGAGGGTAATAGGAGCCTATATATGAAAAAGCCCCAAATATCGGGACTGTCCCTATAAAATCGGGACATTTGGTCATCTTAGCAGCACATAAGGAAGGAGGCAACCTTTTAAAGAACTGTTGGAGACCATTCAGAGCTTTAAAGACTATCTTAAGCACTTGAATTTCACCCAGAAGTGACTAGGTAGTGAGTATGATGTACAAAACACACATGTTGGCACACTTTGAGAGGAAGTCGCAGCTTTCAGCACTAGCTGAAGCTTCCACAAGCTCTTCAAGAACTCTGGCCTTGACACCCCCTCTACATCACTTCACTGGCTTCCCCTTTTCTACCACATGAAGCATAAACTACTTGTCATTTTTTAGGCCCTTTGTGTCCTATTTCTGACTTTCCTATTGTATGTGCCCTTAAGTCATTCATGTCCCACTTCTGTTGCACCAGCAATACCAGACCTTATTGTTCATTTGTCACATTTGCCACCAAGAACCATTACACCTTCTCCCATGCTGCCCTTCATTCATGGAAGGGAACACCCAGTAAAGAGCCACAACATTATCCTCCTTCAAATATCTCCTTAAAACTCATCTCTGGTGTGATATCTACAAAACACTTGTCAATGTTAATTGTTGTGCTGTAACCTCTGTTTACAACTAGTAATTGTTTGACAGTTACCTTGTGGTACTTTGTGCCCTATTCCACCCCATATCTGTTTGTTGTATTCACTTGTTATGTCTCATCTTGTACTTAAATTGGAAGTTTCCTGGCAGAGAACCATCTTTTCATTGTATTTGCCTTGCACAATGGGACCCCAATCATTATTTGTACTGTTGTAGTGCCTAAACTGTTAGACGTAGAACTAAGTTTAAAACTGTACCAGACTAGAACACAGTTGTTTAAGAAGGAGAATGAAGTAGTTAGCATAGACGGATTATGTGAACTCTTCAAGTGCTGTGGGTGTTAATATCACTGCATGTTGATTAAGGATATGCTGTACTTGTATTACACCCTGAATTCTGAATATATTATTTTGATCATTGGAGAGGCAGAGTGAAGAAAAGCAATTGCAATTTTAAAGAAGGTGACTAGGGAGGATCAGAAAGACCTAGACCTGGAAGAAGTGTTAGAGAAAATCCTAGTGATAATGGAGAAGAAGCCATAATAGCTAGAGAAATATGAGCTGATAAAAACAGATCAGTCTCAGAAAAGTTAGGTCATGTCAAAAATTGGGTAATTGCTTTTGAAGAGATGATGATAATGCTGAGAGCACAATGCTATGGACTGGTGAAATCTAATTGGGTTTCAAAATGTGTTTTTGATGCAAAGAGAAATAATCGAACTTAAGCTTGGGTCCATGGCGAAAGTGCTAAAAGTAAAAGGTATTCAGTAGGCAAGGGGTGAGAGAGGTAAATTGTGAAATACTATGAGGGTCAGGATGACAGCCAATACTTTCCAAACACATGACTGCGACAGTGTCACTAATGTGGTTTCCAAATTTTGCTGATGACACCAGAAACAACAGAGCAGAAAACATAGAGGAACATAAATCCAGGAATCCTAGATCTGCAGAAAGTTTGTGTGGGTTAAGTATAAATTTAAGTTAAATTTCACATATAAATTCTGGGAGTAAGCAGAATATATCCCAAAGAGAAACAACCAATAACCGTTGAAAGGGAGGAATGTGAAAGAGAACAAGCAGAATAGGAAAAAATTCTCTTTGAGAGGTGGATTGTCTTAAACTAAACACTGAATGGTTTCTTAAAAGTATTAAATAGAAAAAGTAAATCTGAGAAGAGAATGCAGCCATTAAAGAAGAAAGTGGAAAAGAGGCACCTATCTAGCTCTAGAAAGCTAAGGCAAAGACAACGAAAACCAAAGCTATACGAAGTAGTAGTAACTTTCAAAAAGATATAGAAAATGTGTAGCCAAAAATGTTATAAAAGAGGGTGTGTAGATAATAGTGATTAAATTGGTGAGGCATTTGATAATGTCTCCCTAATCTTTGACTGTATCATGTCACCACTGTCCCTTGAGATTTATTCCAACATTCCAAATCCCAAAGAAGCTTCAAACAAATCCTGTTTCCTCCGCCCCATTCATCCTGCCAGAGAAATGTTACACCATTCTCTCCTACTCTCAAAATAGAATGCCTACTCTCCATCCAATTACCCAATCCCAAGAAAGAATTAGATTTTTTTCTTGGTGTCTGCTGGTTCTCCAGGTCTAGAAACAGGAGCCTTTTCTCCTATAAGGTCTTCTGTAAAGTCATGACATTTTTATGTATGGAAATGCTATTTAAAGTCATTTTTGGAAGTGTTTCATTTGTTTTAATTTTTCCCTTCTGAATTCTGTGCAGTTTGTACTCATAGTTACTAAGGCACCAGGATTTTTGGGTGGTGGTATATAAGAAACAGAGCCATGGAACATCATGGATTCATAGAAAACCATTCAAAAAGCTCCCTTACATCATCTTAGAAACTCTTATACCCAGAAGCTCTATTTAAAACCTAACTGGGCACGGCAGTGTTGCTTAAAGTGAAATTCAACAAAATTCAAGTCCTCATTAAGCAATTCCTTAGAATCCTCCCTAGGCATGGCACACTAATGCCTTCAGCTAGGCAGTATGAGGAGAGTGATTAATCATATTCATTTCCTTGCCTGTAATTTTGTCTTTCAGTGGGAAAATGCCCTGCTTCACAATGTGTCCTGGTTTATTGCATTTGGCAACTTTTGAACATCTGGTTGCATAGTTGTGGTGGTTGATTCTCGGTGTTTCTGGTTAGAGAGAAAATGACAAATTTTTATGTTTATTTTTTTTTAATGTGGAAGGGTAAGTTCAGCCTGATGTTTCAATCTGATCTGTTTGTTGTAGATTTCATTCATGTTTCTCTTAGCTTTGGTAGTATGGCTTAGGAAATAATGTCATTGAGGCATACTTGTGGAAGGAGCTGACAGAAATTGCACTAGCAGGGAAGAGAACCCTCTTGTTCACCTCCAAGACTTGGAAAAGCCCATCAGCAACAGACTCCCATTCAAGGAAAATTAAATGACAGGTAAGGGCATGAATGTTACCATGTTTGAGTCACCTGTGTAAAAACGAGTGGACGAGATCACCCAAGGAAACTGTGTGGAGCAAAAGGAGGAGGGGGCTAAAGGGGGAGCACTGTGGGAGACCCCTCTCACCTTCCTGGGAGAGTGAGAGAGGGAGGAGGAGGATTCACCAAGAGAAAGGCTAGAGAGGTAAGAAGATGAATTGGAGGTGCGGGGCAGGATCAGAAGACGAGTTTAAGGAGGAGGGTATGATCACAACGTCAAAAGCAGCAGAGAGATGTCAAGGATGAAGTAGAGGCCTGAGGTTACGCCA